ACAGCAGGGCCCTTTAGATGTGGCCTAAGTGCTTCGGGCTTTACTCACCTGTTGGGTTTGGCTACCAGGTAGTTTGTTGATATGAAAGCAGGACCAGGCAGAATCTGTCACACATCAGACACTTGTGTAAGGAAAAGGCTGTCCTGTCGGCTTGGAGACGTCCCAGCTCCGGTTTGAGGCTCGTGGACAAATACTTGCCCAAGAGGCTTAAGGAGGTCTGACCTACCAATGGCCAGGGACCTGGGGAGGCAGCAAATGGCCCATTTCTTGATCTGGGTGGTGGTGGCGCCAGTATTTGTGCATGTAAAATGGCATAGAGCTGTCTGTGCCCCTAAAGGTTGTTCACTTTGCCACACGCCTCAGTGAAAATAAATGTTTGTCCTTAAATTGTTCACCGTGGATGAGCAGGGGAACTATTTTTTAAAAATATATATTTTATTGATTTTTTACAGAGAAGAAGGGAGAGGGATAGAAAGTTTGAAAATCAATGAGAGAGAGACATCGATCAGCTGCCTCCTGCACACCTCCCACTGGGGATATGCCTGCAACCAAGATACATGCCCTTGACCAGAATTGAACCTGGGACCTTTCAGTTCACAGGCCGATGCTGTATCCACCGAGCCAAACTGGTTTCAGCGAGCAGGGAAACTATTGTTCAAACCAGTGAACCCCTTGAGTTAGAGGTTTTCCATGGAAGGGCCCCGGGAAGGGTGGCATCACTCCAGGGTCCTCATTGGCACCCAGCTCAGCATCTCAAACACCCCCGAGCTGGCGGCCTGGCCCCTGGACGGTGGCTGTCTCCCTTCAGGCCTCTCTCTCCCCGTTTCCCTCGGTCAGCACCAGGAAGTCAGTGAGGCGGAGTGGGAGGCACCAGGCTTCGGTGTGACGTCCCTTGTCCAGGCCCTCCGTTTGGGGACTCCGTCCAGGTCTGTCCACAGCCTCTCTGGGTGGGAAGCAATAGCTGCCTCATGTACGTGGGCTGTACTCTTGGGGCCACTGCTGTCTTCATTCTCATTCTGCCATCTTAAGCAAATCCTTCCCCAGAATTTGACTTCTTCTGGCCTTTAAGCCACCTTTGGGAGTGTTACAGAATATCTGCTGAGGGTAGGCAGGAAGGGTCTGGGAATGAAACAGATCTCTCTTCCTAGGCAATAATTCCAGACTCTCCCAGAACGGATGTGGGGGGTGGAGGTGGGGCTGTGGATTCCCAGCCTTTCTTTTCCCTGAAGAGGGACCATGGCTCTTCAGACGCCTCACCACTAAGCACCCATCCAGAGGAGTGTACTTGGCCTACTCGCAGCCCGGGCCTTGGCAGTGGTTGCCCGAGAAGTGAAATTTGGCAGAGTTCAAAGGTCAAGGTGACCCTTTCACAGGGTCAGGTGCTTCTGATTTCTCAGCTTCAGGATTCCTGTGACTCTCATTTTTACTGCTCTTTCTTTTCCTTCTTCACATGTCACACGCCACCTCGTCCCATACTCACTGTCAGAACCTCAGCCTTAAAAAAAACACAGACACAGAAAAACGTTGTGGGTATCCAAAACCACTGTGGAATCTGTTGTCATAGTAATGGCGGCCCCCTCGTCTCATAATTTGGGGTTCCCATCAGTGTGTGTCCCCCCACCCCTCTCCCCCCGAATCTTCATCAAACAGCAACAGCCAGTACCGTTATTAATACATGAATAACATCTTTCACCTGGGCAGTTGCCTTTCACTTCCGGCACCGTCAGTCATGCCCCGTAAAGAAGCTCGCTTCTGAAGAGCCTGCCCATTGTGGGATACGATCCGTGATAAACACAGGTTTTGGGGGCTCTCTGTGCACGCAACATGGGAATCGAGCTCTATGGCTGCAGCTTCTTTAATTTTATTTTCTGTAAGAGTTTCCTCCCTCTCATTGTCTTGGTTTTAATTTACAGCTTTAGCATATTTTTTGTGTGTGTGTTTTGTTTTTTAAGAACTAAGTGTTACTGAAAGGCAGAGATTGGAATATTTAATAATTAACCAAGAGTTTGATACAATATCTAGCTGGTTCCTGGACAATTGTATAACACCCTTCTTTTAAAATACACTATGTGAACACTAAGAACTGAATGGGTTAGATAGAAATTGTTTGTTATGGTTAATATGCTTGGGAAAGTTGTAGAATTTATTTGAAACTAGTTTGTCCAATCAAAGCCTGGCCTTCTGAAGCCCAATCCAAACACACTAATCACCCTTATCTCGGGGCTGGGGATGAAGGCAGTGGTTCACCCCCCAAAACGCTGCAGGGGTGGCAGGTGGCAGCCCGGTTGCCTCTAAGGGTGTCCCTGTCCCGGTCCTGGTCGACCCCCTTCCCCACCGCAGACTTGCTGTCCGGAGGTTGGTGCTGTCCATGGAAAGGAACGGGGCGCGGCTGCCTCTTCAAACCAGGGGGATGGTGCTCTCTCCGAGTCTTTTTTTCCTCCTTTTTTCCTTTTTTCCAGCTGAGTATCATTCCATTATATAAATGCACAGCTTGTTTTCTTCTTTTTAAAAATATTTTTATGTGTTTTTATTGATTTCAGAGAGAGGAAGAGAGAGAGAGATGGAAACAACAGTGATGAGAGAGGATCGTTGATGGGCTGCCTCCTGCACGTCCCACTTTGGGGATCGAGCCCGCAACCCCAGGCACATGCCCTGATCAGGAATTGAACTGTGGCCTCCTGGTTCATAGGTCGATGCTCACCCTCTGAGCCGCACCGGCGGAGCTGTCTCTGAATGCTTCTGGTCCAGCTCCTCAGGTCTCTTAGGTCCCAGAGCAGGTGCAGAGCTGCCATTGCCTGCCTGGTTGTAAGGATGCTGGTGCCCAGCGCCGGCGTTACTGGCCTGGAGCTAACCGGACTCCTCTCTTACCTGCTGTGTGATCAGGCAACGTACCCCACTTTTCAGAGACTCCGTTTTCCAGTTTTTTTCCTCTCTAAAAGAGAGATAATGCTTTCATGCCAGAATGTCGATTAAGTAAGACAATAGGTGTGGAAAACCATCAAGTGATCATTGTTTTAATTACTAACATACTAAGAAGTGATATGGGAAAATCTTGCTTTGCCCCTTGGTTTCTGTCACACATCGTGTAATAGTTTTTTTTAAGATGACATCCCCACAAACCTGTGGTGGAAATTATTTCCCATCCCACTTGCACCCCCTAAAGAAGATTTTGTAAAATTGTAATAAAATACACATGACATAAAATTCACCCTCAGACGGTTTTTAAGTATTGTAATTCAGTGACATTTACTACATTCACAATGTTGTGCAGCTGTCACCGTCACCTGGTTCCAGAGCATCTTATCACCCTGAGAGAAAAGCCAGAGGATGACAGTCACATCCGTTCCCCACGCCCCCAGCCCTGGCGACCACGAATGGCCCTGTCCCTAGGGATTTGGCCACTCTGGAGAGTCTATACGAACAGATGCTTGCAGCACATGGTCTTTTGTTTCCAGCTGCTTTCACTTAGTGTAACATTTTCAAGGTACATCCATGGTACAGCATGATTCAGGACTTCATGCCTTTTAATTCCTGCATAACATCTTGTTGTATGGATCTACTGTCTTTGTCTCTGCGGGCTGCTGCCACAAAATACCGCAGGCTGGGAAGCTTGTAAGCAACAGAAATCTACACCTCACTGTTCTGGAGGCTGAAAGTTCAAGATGAGGGTGCCAGCAGGGGCCGAGTGCTGCAGATTAATCCTGTGTCCTCACACGGGGGAGGGGCGAGGGAGCTTGTGTGGTTTCTCTTAGAAGGGCATGGATTCCATTCCTGAGGGTTCTGCCCTCCAGACATGAGCACCTCACCACGGCCCGCCTCACCTCCTAAGAGCATCACCGTGGGCATTAGGATTTTAACGTATGAATTTTGGGGGGACACAGACTTTCAGACCATAGCATATACCTGTGGTCGGCAAATTGTGGCTCATGAGCCACATGCAGCTCTTTGGCCCCTTGAGTTTTTAGCAAAGGCCAGCTTAGGAGCACCCTAATTAAGTTAATAACAATGTCCCTTCCTATATAGTTTAAGTTTAAAACATTTGGCTCTCAAAAGAAATTTCAATCGTTGTACTGTTGATATTTGGCTCTGTTGACTAATGAGTTTGCCGACCACTGGCATATACCATATGAAGTTTATCCATTCACCAGTTGATGTTCATCTGGTTTGTTTCTACCTTTGGCTGTTGGGAGTAGCATTGCTATGAACATTCTTGTACAAGTTTTTGTTTGAATACCTGTTTTAAATTCTTTTGGGTAAATACCTAGTAGTGAAATTGTTGGATCATATGATAATAATTCTATATTTAGCTTTAAAAAAAAACAAAAAACTGCCAAACTGTTTTAAGCTCTGGCTGCCCATTTAACACCCCTCACCTGAGGTTTCACTTTCTTTTATAACTTGTTATTTTCTGCCCTGGCCGGTTTGGCTCAGTGGGTAGAGCAGACTAAAGGGTCCCAGGTTTGATTCCTGTCAAGGGCATGTACCTCTGGGGTGTGTGCGTGAGACACCCATCAGTTAGTGCAACGTGTTTGTAAGAGGTGTCTCTCTCACATTGATGTTTCTCTCTTTCTGTCTCTCCCCATCCCTTCCACTCTGTAAAATTCAATGGAAAAATATCCTTGGGTGAGGATTAACAAAAAAGTAAACTTGTTATTTTCTGCCTTTTTCATTTTATTATAGCTACCATAGTGGGTATGAAGTGCTGTCTCCTGGTGGTTTGGGCTAGTTTTATAGGACTGGTTTTGAGTGTTTCTGGACGCAGATGTTTTTACTCTGCCGTGTTCCTAAGCCTGTCATATTGCAAAGCTACAAAACCCCCTACACGTAATTCCCAGGAAGAGGACGTTGTAAAGCACCTTTTCCTCACGGCCCTTGTGAGCTGAGCCTCGTGGCTCTGTACTCTGCCCTGCAGATAAACCACTCGCAGACAAGTGGCTAATTATGGACAATGCCTGGTGCCTCTGACTGCTCTCTGATTCTTTTTTTCCTTTTGATTTTAGGAATTTCTTCTGGGTCATCCAAAATGCTTTTGAAGCATACTGGATAAGAGCTGAGCCACCTGCCTGTTTGAGACTTCCATACTCTCTATTCTACTGTCTTCCGATGGCATTTTGACTGCATCGAGGCCACGTGACCTGCTGCTCATGATGAGCGATGAGAAGAACCTTGGGCTGTCCCCAAAATTGGTCTCCCCTTCCAGGAGCCCGAGCACCTGCTCCTCCAAGCAGGGAAGTCGGCAGGTAAAGTTTTAACTAATACAACTTTTTTTTGGGTGTGTGTGTGTTTGTGTGTGTGCGTGTGTGCACTAGGTGTTCTATAAGGCCCAGTGGCTCAGCCTCCCCAGTCACCTGAGGTGGACACTCTAGGTGCACCCCTTTGTGGGCTGTGTGCATAGGCTTCTTGTAGTTAAGCCTTGATTGCTGTTGGTGTCACTGGGTGGTATTGACCGCCAGACCAATTGGCTGTGAGGACCAGCTGTGTCTACAATGGGAGAACTGCTGTGTTGGAAACACCCTTATGGGGCAAGCCTTGCTTCAGTGGGCTTTGGCGCTTACTGAATCTGCCCCCTGAGTGTGTCTCTTATGGATGTGAAGAGTTGAAATCTGGATAATCTCACTATGACCTCTGGGTGAACTGGCTCTTGGATCTCCAAGGAGGTGCAAAGTCAACCCCTGCCTGAGGCCACCCAGCAGGAGCTACAGAGAGATCTGCAGATTCCTCCTCTTAGTTTGGGGTTTTGAGGTGCCCTGATGAGGCACACAACTAATGCAACTTTTAAGATGCAAATTTAAATCAGGCAGTTTGTAGATTAAAGTGTGTGTATTTACTTGGGAAAGCTTCCTTCTTAGTTTAAGAGCACTTGCTTTTATCCCTGTCTTAATTATATGAGAAGAATCCATTTTAGGTGACTTAATAATGCAGCTTGAGTGCCTACCAGGTGGGAAGAGCTGTATTTGGCTCTTTGGATTATTTTACTCAGTCCTTGTAACTGTCCTCCAACACAGATATTAATATCCCCTTGTTCTCCACGCAGAAGCTGAGTCAGACCAGCTGAGTTATTAAAGACACACAGCTAGTACTAGTAAGTGGCAGAGCCAGAAACCAAAGCCCAGTCTGTTTGACTCCAGAGCCCACACTTCCATTTATACCCTACTAACCAACACAAAAAAAATCAATCACTTTCCCAGTAATTATAATATCCTCCCATCTGCCTCTTCCTTCCCTTTACTGAACCTTGGGTTCCCAACCACAGGCTGCCCTTAGGTCCCACCTGCTCTATTTCACTAATGGATGAGGAAATCAAATCAACAGAGTGGTAAAATTGAAAAAGAAGTGAAACAAAGGACTGAATAATTAACTCCTAAATAACTGTCAGCTAATTATATGTTGCCTTTTTGGTTTCCTTTCTCATAAATCCTGATTGGCAGGCTTTGCTGGTTTTAGATCAGTACAATAAATGCACAGGAATCATTGTAATTCTCCCACCTTCCGTTTAGTCGAGAGAGGGAGGGCTGTCCGAACACTCTGGGCTTCCAGCAAAGTGACCTCTGAGCCTTTTCAGTGTTGGCTGCCTCTGTTGGCTTTGTCGATCCCCCGTGAGAAGCGACGGCCTAAGAACTGGCCCAGGGGTCTTGGTTCTAGATTTGGAAGCAACAATCCAGCAGCCTCCCACTCCAGGCACGTCCACGCCTTTATGACACATCACACATTTATGACACATTCTCACATTTGTGACTCATCAGCATGAGCCTCTCCATTCGAATGTTGCCCGGGACAGGGAGCTTACCACCTCACGATACTGCCTCCTTTCTTTAGCATCTGTGATTCCAGACCAGCCGATGGGCTGCAAGAATGTTTGTACCTGAATATTTAGTCAGGGGCACTGGCCTTTTCCCCCTTAGATTGTCAAATAAGAAAATGACACAATAGTAGTGCTCCAGTATGAATGCCCTGTCTTGAGCCATTAATATACACTGAGTGGCCAGATTATTATGATCTCTGAACGCATAATAATCTGGCCACTCAGTGTATATCCTGTATAATAAAAGGCTAACATGCAAATTGTCTCCTCGACCAGGAGTTCTACCACCAAGCAGGCTGGCCATGTCGCATCCCCCTGGCCAGGCTGGCTGGACCCTACCCATGCATGAATTAATGTACCAGGCCTCAAATACACACACACACACACACACACACACACTGAGTGGCCAGATTATTATGTGCTCAGAAGTCATAATAATCTGGCCACTCAGTGTATAGGTCGTATAAGAGAATTGCATCTTATTGGTCACGTTGCATAATAAGTTTGCATCTGATTGGTTAATTCTGAGTACCAGAAATCCTTATATACAAGTATGGGCACCAGATTTTTAAAAAAGTCACTTTGGACCAAACAGAATAGGTTGTTGCTGCTGTTGTTGTTATAATAATTTGTAAATCAATCAAAACTGTATCTTTTTTTGTCAGATCTGGAAAAATTATTTTTTGGTGTGCCGCAGAATTTTAGTAATTAATTTATGCTTACCATAAGTGAGAGTTTTAAAATCACTGTCCTAGACGATTAGATTTTGCCACTGGCCTGACATTGGGAGCCCTCCAAGATCTCTCCCGAGGGTTAGGGAGAAGAATTTTTTTCAGCAGTCATCCCTTTCAGCTGGGGTTTAAAAATGACTAAAAGTAGTCCTTGACTGATGCCCAATGGCTCCTGGGAATTCCATTTTTGAGAGGGTAGCTGTGTCCACCCCTTTGGCAGCTTTCTGGGTGAGTGTTTCTCTCCCTTCGCCAAATTTGGTTGGGCTTAGAACCAAACGCAGATTTCCCCTGGATAAAGGGCGAGAACATGATTCATTTAAGCCAGAGCTTATAACACTTTAGGGATTGAAATTCTGGGATTGAATACACAGAAATTATTTGTTTGGTAGCTATTTGATATAGATTGATTTGGTTTTCATTGAGCTTTTTCTGAGATTACATCCTAAAAAAAAAAAAGAGAGAGAGAAATGTGTTTGATGCCTCCAAGTATTCTGACTTGGAATGGTTGGTCTTTCTCCTATTCATCAATTGCCCATCTTTTATTGTATATTTAGTATCTACTACTTCAGTGCGCAAGTGATTTTGCTTTATAAACATAAAGACTTGTTTTTCCTCTGTGGCATGGGAATGCATTGTCTTTCACCTCTTTCTTCCTCCCTGCACCCAGGCCAGCACCTACCCATTGGCAGTAGCTGCTAAGGGCACTGTGTTGAGAAGGGCTCTGTGGTTGAGCCTGGGGCACTGGAAAAGAGTGCCATGTTTTTAGCTATGATTTCGTGGGCACAGGCAGGCTGAGTGGGAGCACAGGTGCCACATGTGTGACCCCGTAGTGATATTAGAGGGTTGGTATTAAGAAATCTCTGGGGAAAAAAGAAAAATATCTGCCATAGTCTCTATATTTTGCTGGTGGTGGGAAGTCCGACAAGTGAAGTTTGCCTCAGTTCTCTATCCATAAGACGGCCTTGTTTCAAGCCCCCCGACACCCCGAAAAAGAAATGGAGCTCTTTGAAGTGGACTATCCTTCAGATCCAGTGCTTTACTGGATAGGAATCCGTGCTTCTTGCAGGAAATCCCCAACGAGAGGAAGCCAGCTTCCACACAGAATAGGCTGCTGGTCCCTTCTGACCGTCCTCATCGTTCCCTATTATCTGTAGTGCTCGAGGTTGATCTTTGCTTGAGTGTTTTTCCTCCTCCCAGGCTTTGACTCAGCTATCTCGTTAAGCTAGACTGATTCATATATGAGGAATTTTCTTTCCTCTTGAATTTGATGATTTTTCTTGAGAAGAGTCTTCACTTATCGCTTTAACACTTTAAAAAAGGATCTTTTATAAAAATAATAGGTGCTCACTGTTAGTCATTTCCAAGGTACATGCAATCCATGTGACTTGCAAGACTTTAATTAATTTACTTTTAAATGGCTGCTGACAGGTCAGATAAAAGGAAGCCTGTGAATGACTGTTGGTTGTGGAGGTCATCCGTGACATTGTCGAGTGGTGGGCATGAAAGGTTGGTTAGAGTCTATTCAGGACAGAATAGGAACAGAGGAAGAGGGGACCCCAATTCTTCCAGGCTCCCAGACAGGATCTGAGACGCCTTCACAAATGTTCTCTTTGGAACCTTAAGCATGTCTAATGCCATGCTTAACCCTGCCCTCTTCTCTCCCCACGTGGATAATTCTCTGATTCATTAATTGGTTGAAAGAGTAGATAGAGCTTGAGTCCTGGGTTCTAGTTACACATCTTTTTAGCTTTCACATCTTTTTAGCACATGGCAGATGCAAATTAGTGGACTGAATGCCAGCAGCAAGTATCCCCCCATTAGGGGAAGTGAGAATGGATGGCCAGGTATACGTGCGGAATGTGAACAAGAAACTCACAGCTTCCTCAGCTTCCTCACTCCAGTGACGTATCGTGAGGATCTTAAAAAATGAACTGAGGCCTCTCCATGGATAGGCTTTGTATACCGAATCTCGGAATGAGCTACTCTACTGGAAACTATGAAACAGGTCTGACCATCTTCATCATTCCCTATTATTTGTAGTGTTCGAGGTTGATCTTTGCTATCTGGGTGACCTTGCCATCTATCTATAATAATAAAAGTGTAATATGCTAATTAGACCGGACGTCCTTCCAGACTAAGCTGGGGCTGCAGCCATGGGATCGAGACAGCTGCAGTGGCTGAGGGGGAGGGATCTAGGCAGCTGCCTGCAGTTGCAAAGGCCCAGTCTTGCACGAATTTTGTGTTTCGGGCCTCTAGTGTTATATGAAACCTCTGAATCTCAGTTTTTCAGCTGTGAAATTTAGAAAATTGTGCTTCCTTTTGAGAACTAAATTAAATAATAAATATGAAGTACCTAGGCTAGCAGATGGTAGACATTTGGTAAGTGGGGATTAAATTAATGAATGAAGAAGCATGAAATTGCTAGATAGAAAATTACTATTCACAAAGCTCTGTAGACATATGAAGTAGGCTAAGGGCTATCTAAGTGGGAGAGGCAGTTACTATTTCAAAACTTGTACAATACAAGCAATTGCAGTTTTCTGTTGTATTTTCCCACTGCACCCTTCCATTTCTTTCCTAGAACTTTGAAACTAGCATGTTTCAGAAGCCAGATTGAGCTAAAGATGCATGACTAGGTTGTATCTTTAATGAAAGAGTTCTGTGTGCCCTAAACTTTACTTCTTCAATCAATGTCTATTAAGTGCCT